GGTGGGAAAAGGAGGCCTGGAAGATCAAGGGCAGTTTGCCTTGATCACAGAATTACATAGCCTGCCTGTGCTCCAGCCTCCTGACCCATGCATGTCCTTGGAGGGCGGTGGGTATGAGTGGCACCAGGGAGCAGCATTACTAGGCTCTGTGACATGTGTCCCCCTGTTGGCTCACACTATGGTCAGTTTTATTTGATGGGGGCATCATCTCTGACCTCTGAACCAGCCAGCTGACTTCACATACACTTGCCTCCTGTTCAAAGCTTGTGGGCTGTGTTTTTGAACATGAGCCCAAAGGGATTGCTGGAGTCAAACATTCTATAGGGTCGGTCGCTGCAAGGATCCCCTTGTTGTTGGCTGGTTCCCCCAGATTGAGGTGTGCTCCCCTGCCTGGGCTGAACCCTAGTTTTTGTCCGATATAGAGTCACCCAAAAAGAATACAATATGAACCTGCCTTATCATAGCCAAAGACTTTCCCTATGACAGACTGGAGTCCCAAAGCCACAGGCTCTGGCCCCGCCCCCAGTCCCAGCCAGCCTTCCCCCTGCCCAGCAGGTGGAAGTCAATCTTCTTTATCTGTCCTGGCCACAGACATTATTGCCTCCTGCTGGATTTTGGCTTGAGTGTCTTAAAGACACTGGGCAGTGGAGACCCCAGGAAGGTTGCCTTACAGGCACAGCAAGACTCAGAGCTGTCCCCACTTTGGGTCATCAGTGCTTTGCATGTGAGAGGCTGGTTTAGACTGGTTTAGTTGTTTCAGGAGAGTTTATTTGGACAGGAGGCATGTTGATGAAAGCAGGGTCATAGCTTTGGGCTCTAAGTCAGTTACCTTGTATCCTTGTGGCTCCTGCTGCCCAGCAGATGCCCTCTGCCTACCTGATGCTGCCAACAGTCACCTGGTGGCCAATTTGAAGGGTCACCCTGCTAGTCTGAGGGCTTCTGGCAATACTACAAAGATGGCATGTGTGGAATCCAGGGAAGCATGGAATCACCATCACCCAGGGTGTGATCTTAAGCCCTGTTATTCATTTTATATGTATCAGAAAATCATGGTCACTTACTGATATTAACATGAAAAATTTGAACATACATTTCCCAAATTCCAAATACCGTAAGTACCAGTGTTATCATTTGATATATAAATTTACAGACATTTTTTCAACAAAATACATGCAACTTTTTTTTTAATGTTTATTTATTTTGAGACAAAGAGAGCACAACAAGCAAAGAAGAGTCAGAGAGAGAGAGAGAGAGTCCCAAGCAGGCTCCATGCTATCAGCATAGACCCCATTTCCAGGCTCAAATTCATGAACCTCAAGATCATAACCTGAGCTGAAACTAAGAGTCAACGCTTAATCGACTGAACCACAAAGGTGCCCCAATACATGCATTCTTTGATGGACCCTACACATCCCTCCATCATATGTCTCTGTGGGGCCCAAGCCATCATCTGCCACCAAACCTTCTGCCAGGGGACATTTGGGCTGCTTTCTAGTTCAGGTTTTTCATATTATAAAAAGCACAGCTGAGAGATTTTTCTCTGTGAATTCATTCTGCCTCATTGAGATGTTTTAAGATTCATTTCCAACAGGAAACTGCTGGACCACCAGGCTTCCTCCCTCACCCCCCACTCTCTCTGTAGAACTGAGCTTTGTCCACAAGCCCAAACTAGGACCGGGGGCTGTGGGAAGTGCTCTGGCCCACAAGCCCCTGACCCATCCAGTTGCTTTCCCCAGTTTGTAAGCTGGGCAGCCCCACTCAGGGCATCCCCACTGCACAACCATGTCACAAGGGACACAACCAAGCAGGATTTGATTTATGACAACAGGATAGGTCAGGGAGTGATCAAGGGTCGACCTGCTTGGGCCTGGGGCAGAGGGCTGCAGGGAATGTGAATCCTACACAGACCCGTGTCATGTGTGTGTGTCCTGCGAAATGGGGGCAGGGAGCATGAATCACCTGGGTCACCCAGCAGTACCATCTGCCAGCCTTGTAAACAGAGTGCATGCCCACATTCCCATGTTGAAGGGATCCTCCTGCCCTTCAACTAACTTGGCCTTTTGGCAGAATTCAGCATGGCTGAGACGTTGTGGTCCCCCTGTAAGATGCAGGTCTGCTCTCACCACATTTCTCCTACCACCTTCCAGAGCACCCCTGCCCTCAAGGCAAAGACCAGAATGTGTACAGTGGCCCAAGGGGCCATGAATGGACTGGTTCAACAGCACTTGGGTGCTTCCCCCTTGTCACCCCAGCCTTTCCTTTCTGTCCAGTGTTTCAAGCATGCCAAGCTTGCTTCTCTCAGCTTTTGCTGGGCAGGCCTCTGTGCTCCTCCTTCGCCTGCCCAACCCTCACCAAACAGGGCTGCCTACTGCTTACAGAAGCCCCATCTGGCCACAGCCCGCAGGTGATGTACCTGCAGTATGCATTTTCCAGGACCCCCACATCTATCATGACATGTGCAATGCTTATCTCCCACTGAGTGAGCCCCATACTGGGGTCAGAGGGTGTGTTTGTGCCCTGAGCCAGTCCTGACAAGTGAGGTGATCAGCAGAGGTCAGTAAGCACCTGGAACATCACCCACCCAGGCAGAACAGCCCTACAACTTGACTGCCCATCACACTGTCCTGCCTGCATGATGGGCAAGGGGGACATTCCCCACTAACTCACCAATTGTGACCTTGCTCAGCTGAGGAACTGCCCGCTGGACACGTGCACCGACATCTGCCAACCACCTCCAGTTTAATGCCACTGCTGCCCCATACCTGCCACAGTGAGTGAGTAAAGGGCTCTGACCTTTCTCCCATGACCATACAAGGAGAGCTGTGGGTTCTCCATACTCCGGGTTACCTGGAGCCAGGTGGCCACCCCCATGGAGGGCACTCTCTGGCTCCTGACTGAAGCTCTGTGGAGGATGGTCTGGCCAGCTGCAGTGAACTCCACCAGCAACTATCCCAAAGAGAAACAATCTTCAGTCTTGATAGTCTCTGTCTCCCTTCCGAGGGAAGGCATGTATGATGAACAGGCAGAAGTCTCCTTTCGTTCAGCCCCACTCCCACACAGCACTCTAAAAATGTGGCATCTGTGAGTCAACCACAGGGACCCAATCTGTGGAGGGGCTGCCTTTGAAACTCCAAGTTCCCTCTCACAGGAGTAGGAAGTCCTTTGAGACCTGGAGTTACCTGGGAGACGCAGGGGAAGATGTGCTCCCGCCTGCATGTTCTCATTCTGCCAGGCGCCCCGTTGTCTAAAAAGAAGTAGCCTTTCTGCCTTGTTAGAGGTTGTGGATGTGCTGTGGTCTCTGGCACCTTTCCTGGTCCCTGGTACAGGAGGGAAGCCGACTGCCTAGAGAGGTAGCAGCAGGCTTCCAGTAGCACGTGGAGCTGAGCAAGGTCAGAACTACTCAGTGAGTTGAAGAGATATGCCCCCCTCACCCCTCCATGCAAGCAAGCAAGGGATGTGGTGGTCACTTGACTGTTAGGGTTGTTCTGCCTGCCTGGAACGTGTGCCAGGTGCATCTTTCATTACATCTTTGTAATTTCCACTTCTAGTGACCTTCACCCATCTGAGGACCACACATGGTGACATGTCCATTGTTGCCAGCCAGAGCCATGGCAGCCCCCATGGAGCCTGCTCCCCCGACCCCGCCTCTGCCAAGGCACTAGCAGCTCCTGAGGGGTCTGCTCAAGCCTGCCTGTCTCCCTGTTCATCTGCATCCAGTTGTCTTCAGGATCCCTGTCCTGTCCCTTGGTGGGGAGCCTAGAAGGGACCCTCCAAGGAAGGGAGGAGAACCCTGGCTCCCTTGAAGGGCATGGATGTCACCTTCCTCCAGATCCCCCTAGACATCCCCATCTGTGTCAGTCTCCTGGGCCTGCTGTAACTGTACCACAGACTGGGTGGCTCAAAGCCACATGAAGTTATTCTCTGTCAGTTCTGAGGTCATAAGTCCAAAGTTAAGGTGTTGGCAGGCTACATTACTCTGGCCTCAGCCTCCATTTTCACAAGGGAACTTCTGGGTGCCTCTCTTCTCCTCTTCTGTCTCTTATAAGGACACCGGTCACTGGAATTAGGGCCCACTGTAATAAAGAATCACTTCATTTCAGGATTCCTACCTTATACTGTATCTGCAAAGACCTTTACTCTAAACAAGGTCACTTTCACAGATACCAGGGGCTATGGCTTGAGCATTTCTTTTGGGGGCACATTGTTTAACTCCCTGTGGCATCTGATACCTCTGACCAGGAAGAAGAGTGCTGCTCTGTGGAGGGCTGGGGATAGTGTTGCCCTTATGACTGGGTCTGTGGGGTTCTCTGTGCTGCAGAAATCACCTCAGCAAGATCATTGTGTGGCCCAGATCCCTCTCTTGGCCCTAACTACTTCCCTCAGGAGGGTTAGCATGCACCACAGGCTAAACAGGAAGCATCTCAAAGTGGACCACCCCTGCAGCCATATCCCCATATAATAAACCCTTGGAGCCTTGAGCTCCTGGAGTCTGATGTGGGAGATGCTTGCTCTCCTGATGCCTGTCCCCTGTCACTGCCAAAGGACCAGTTTTCCTTAAGGGTTAATCTTCAGCTCCTGGGAATGCAGCTTTTAAGTAAGTTTGTGCTTTGTCACATGAAAGGTTTTGTCTGGGTTTTCTTTGACAAGCACAAGAACAAGTAATTCAAGTTCTAAGAATAAAAACAGGCCTCCCTCCACTGCTTTCTTCCATGTTAAACACAGTGCGATGCTGCCCAACAGATGCAACCCTGAAGAGTGACTTTCTGAGCTTCTCCCAGAGGGCACTTGGAAGGGTGTCAGTGGCTGCCAAACTCCCTTCAGTGGGCTGGAAAAAAAAGTTATTAACAAACCACCCAGGCAAGTGGATCCTGAGAATTTTGAAGGCTGGAGGGTCAGGTCAGTGACAGGTGCCTCTGGACTCCAGCCTGACCTTGCCTTTCTCTTCCCTGGGGCAGGAGCCTCCTGTCAACTCACTCCTGTCTCCTCTTGTGTGTTTCCAGGACTCCTCCTCCTCTTCGGCCGGAACCACCCCAGTGGCTGAACAGCAAGGCACAGCTGCCAAAGTCCAGCTGCCCCTCAACGTGTGAGCTGTCATTTATGTTTTTGGGGTCCTGTGCCTTCAGCACCTCCCTCCCACCTCTGCTAGCAAATAAACCTGTGGTTTCCATCGGATTTTCTAATGTGTTATCAGCTGGTCAGTCTAGTTATGCACATCCAGTAATACTGCAGAAAAGAGAGTGTGAAAAACAAAGTCTAGCTGGTCCTTTCAATGTCAGTGTCCCCAGAACATTTATAAGCAGGGAGATATTCAAAATATTTGATGGCACAGGCCAATCAGGAAAGGACCAGCCATAGCACGGAGAAGACTCTGGAGGCCTATGGAGAAGGTGTGTGTTGGGGGGCTGGTGGGCTCTGGAGGGCAGAGGAGCCAGAGCAACAAGTGGTCTTGTGAGCATGGGACAGTAGCTAGTTACCAAGTGCTCAGAAAGTAGCTCAATATTTGAACAGCCACAACTGCCCTACAGTCACGGTAGCTTATGTCATAGCAGCTGCATATCATCCCCAAATATAACCAGATGAATCATTGCCAGGAAGCAAGTTGCTTATCTTGTTTAGAAGATTTGCTCTTGTTAAATTACAGCTCTTAAGAGATACGTGCAGTTTAAAAATTCCCCATTTAAATGGTGTTCTGAAAAATTAGACTGCCTTCTACTCTTTTATTTGGCAATGAGCTCACTTACTTGAATGAATGTTTTGAGGTGGAGAATATAAATTTGGCAAACAATATGGTGAAATAGAATGTTCCACAGATCTGATGCATATCAAAGGGACACTTAAAACCTGCATTGTTGCAGAACAAAAGGTATTCCAGGCCAAAAAAAAAATCCTTTCGAAAAAGCAAGTTACTGAGCTTCAAAAGGTCTCCTAGAGGCATAAATATCCTGGGACATGTTCAGCTACCTCTTTACACCCAATCAAAATGTTTGTCTTTACTTGATGGCAGATTGGAAACCCTGAACATCTCCCTTTATCTGGCCACTGCTGTGATTGCATTGTTACCACAACCAACTAAACAAAAGGACACTGAGATGTACTTATTTTGTACCTAGTGTCCTAAGGGGAATATAGATTAATGAGCTACATTTAGGTGTCTGGCTGAAATTCAAGTTTTCACCAGCACTGGACAGAAGACGTGCTCTTCTGACCTGCTGTCCTAGATAAGCTCCAGTGGCTTCCACTTCAACCTGGGGACAAAGAGGCATAGGACAGGATGGGTAGTGATGGGTTGCTTTTCCTGAAGAACTGGATGCAGGGCTCTGTCCCTGAGGAAGTTGACTGGCATCCACAGGAGACTGTTATGCCCTAATGTGGTTGCCCAAATGAAAGGCACAGTGAGCTCTTCAAGGACAAGTCCCAGGGGTCCCCACAGATGATTGCCTGGCACACAGGCTCTCTAACTTCGTACATGTTCTGATGACCAAAACCTTCCCCATCCTGGGTATAGAGGCTTCTGGTATTGGCCCAAAGCCCCCAGCTCTTACACATCAGGTCGGCCACCAAGAAAGCTGCTCTGTCTTTGAGACCCAAAAGGTTATTAATTCCATCCAGTAACATTATTCCCTAAGAATTGTGAATACAGACTGGAGGCTTAAACCATGCACAGATCTTCCATTTTGTGGAGGGCTTTTTAATGTGGTACAGAGCATAGAGTGACCTTTCTCTCCTGTCCCTGCTCTGCCCTGAGACGTGAGTAAGCCACTGTGGTCCCTAGCCCTCTGCCCTCTCTCTATCAGATTCTGAGAGCCTCATTCAGGGTCCCAAGTGCAGCTCGCCATCTGGGAAGGAAACTTCCACAGACAGATGGGTACGATTCATCCCTGGGGGAAAACCAAGAGCCTGCTGAAGTGTGTGACAACATGCATGCCACCTGTGAGGTCTGGGAGTCTCATTGTGGGGGCCAGAGAAAGACTGGGGGGTTGGAGCGGAGGGACTGGGGTTGCCTGCAGACCGGGGGAAAGGAAGCCCAAAGAGACAGCAGGCAGCTTTGCTGCCACTTTGTACCTGATATGTGTGTGGAGTTTGAAGCTGTCCCCACCAGATCTGTTTGTGATAGGGGCAACCTCACAGATGTAATTCTCCTTGATACTCCACCTGCATTTGGCTTGAGGGTTCAGAAGTTGCTGAGCCTACCTTCTAATGACTATGCAGCCACCATGTTCCATAATGTTGGGAAAGGAACTGGTGACCAGACCAGGGCCCACCATAGATCTGTAACACAGAGGGTGATTCTGGGCTTCCGTCTGTGACAGGCTTGATCAGTATGAGTTTAGTACACCAGGACCCAGTAACCTAAGTCCTTGCTGAGGTGGGGGCAAAAGCCTGGAGGAGGAGGTGAACCCACCAGCCAGCCTTCTATAGCAGCACCCCACCTCTCAGACAGGGATTCCTGGCAGTCATAGCACCTGCCCTCAGGGAATGGAAAAGGTGCCCCCACCTGCAGCCCTGCCTGAGGGTTAGCAGCACTTCAGAATGGTGTGCAATGCATGTGGGGAAAACAGAAGAATGAACCATCTTGAGGGAATTCTCTAGAGGAGAGTAGAAAGCCTGGCAGTCAGGGTCGAGGACTTGCAAAGATGCTGGCAGGACCACCTGCAGTGGACAGAAAGACATGTCCCTGTGAGTGAGTGTTAAGCCCAGGGGAATGCAGGTGGCTGCAGGTCCCCCAGCAGCAGCAGCCTTGTCTGCATTCAATTTCCTGGAAGCAGACTCTCAGGCTGAGACCCATTGGTGGCTGCTTTCATGAGCCACATCTGTGAGGAAGTTGGGGCTGAGCTGTGCTGGAAGGGAAGCCTGGTGATCCTCAGGGTAATTCTGGAGCCCCTATGTGAACATTAGCTTTCCCCAGCTGAATTGAGCCTGTGTGGGCTTCAGGTGACCCCTGGAAGGGACACAGTCTTGGGTGCGCTTACATATAGCCAGAAAATTACCACTGAGGGCCACTGTGGTGAGCCATCAGCAGCCCATGGCCCACTCTGGGGGATGGTGCTATGGCCCTTGAGTGTGGACCTTGGCTGGACATCACCAGACCCAGTACAGAGGTGGGTCTTCAACTTCAGAATGCAGCAGAAGTAGCTGGAGGGCTTGTTGAACCAGATTGCTGGGTCTTACCCTAGTAGCTCTGGAGTGAGGCCCCAGAATGTACATCTCTACAAGTCCCCAAGTGATGCTTTTGCCGCTGGCTCAGGACTGCCCTTTGTGGGTCACTGCCCAAAGGCCCCTGCAGAGAAGTTTTCTGTGAGCTCAGGGTGAGAAGGACGCCAGCCCCCACACAGGACTGGCAGCCAAGCCACTCCCAGCTCCTTCCTTCCCTAGGGTCCCAACATTGGGCTGCAGCTGGTACAGCCTCATATAATGGAGTGCCAATTGCCTGCATTTCCTGGGAAATCAGGACCACTGGAAGGCCTGGATCAGGGGCTGGCCACTGCATGGCCTCATGAAAGTTCCCCAAATGCTCCCTGTTCTCTCCCTCTGAGCATCTGCACCCAAGGAGTCAGCTCTGTCCACAGCCCTGTATTGACTCACCTCCCCAGCTCAGCCACCTCCTTCAGGAAGACTGACTTGGTTTTCTGAGCATGGGTAGTGCTCCTCCCAGACCCTATAGCATCCTGTGCAGACCCTGACATGCACCTGTATTGTCTCCCCCTTCCCCAGAGTGGGTGCTCCTGGGACAGCCACCTCTACCACCTGACTGCACCTGGCTGTCATTCAGAACACATCCATTGAATGGAACCATCAACGGTGGGCACATGTCTTGCTAACATCAGCTAGTGTGACCCTGGCATCTAGGAGAACAGAAGCAAATACTTCACACAGAATCTTTTACTTACTTATTCTAGAAGAAACATGAGCAAACCATCATATAGAAGAGAAAGGGTGTGAAATTAATGAAGGCACAAAAATGCTTCAGTTCACTCCTTGATTAGAGTTGAAGAGAACTGTGTAGATAATTAACACAAGTGAACATCGTGCTGTAGAAATGAGCAAGTAATATGGGTGAGTGATTGGTGTCCTCGGAAATATCCAATAGGCTGCTGGTAAAAGCCTGATGCCAGGCACAGTGGCCACAGATGGCAGATGCTTCTGTGTGGACACCATTCGTCCAAAGGCACCCAGAGAGGGGGGCATAGAGCCTGATCCTCCATCCCGGCTCACACTTGCAGGACTGCTTCAGGCTGTTAGGGGGGCACCTTATAGCCTAAAAGCCCCATATGGTCTACAGGACGGTGGGGAAGAAGGAACCAAATTCTCCTACTATTGCCTTATTTTTAGTACCAGCTTAAAAGAATTTTTTTTAACATTTTATTCATTTTTGAGAGGGGGACAGGGGCAGAGAGAGAGAGGGAGACACAGAATCTACAGCAGGCTCCAGGCTCTGTGTCAGCACAGAACCCAACACAGGCCTTGAACCCAGAGACTGTGAGATCATGACCTGAGCCAAAGTTGGCTACTTAACCAACTGAGCTACCCAGGCACAACCTTTTGTTAATTTTTTTTAAATATTAGTACCAGCTTTTGTGTGTGAATCCACAGAGTGAATTTGGGGCCTGGAGGAGCAGTCCCTGTCTGAACTATACATGTTTTTGAGATGACCCTGAGCCACCTGTGGGAACTTATTTTGAGCTGAAGAGACCTTTTGAAGGAGTAAGGAGAATGGGGCCCTGGGAACCATGGGGAAGAGGACCCTGCAGGCACTACCTATTTCGTGCCAGGCCTGCGAGGCCCCTGTAGGCCCTGTGAGGATCAGCTCGCAGCTCTGAGCACAGAGGGTGCTATCCAGCTCGCTCAGAGACTGTCAGTAGAAGGGACAGAGGTGGACAAGGAATGACAAGATAGCACTGCTGTGGCTGTCTGGTGCATAAAGCAGGGACCAGGAGGCCTGCAGGCATCAGGCTGACAGTGGGTTGGACTGTCTTCCATTCAAGTGTGGTCCATCCATGCTTTTTCTTGGGTCATTCTTAAAGAAAGCAGACACTGAATGACATATTCCCCCACCCTAGGCCAGCACCCCACCCCAGCACAAGC